AAGCTAGTAGGTGGCAAGCAACTGGGGTGGCATCTCTCAGACAGCATGCTGATGATGGACTGAGATTGGGAGCATCTAGCCTCTCCCGGCTAACCCCCCCCCTCCCCCCCCCCCCCCCCCCCCCCCCAAAAACCAGCCAGTCTTTCTGCGGAATTTTCCACTCAACCCGAAACTATTGTGGGCAAGGAAGAATAGAAAATATTCTGTAAAATGAAGTAGAGTAACACTGCCATTTTAACTCCTACTTTTCTACGAGCGGCCCCAATGGCTTCTCCTGACAGTACTTTGCTCCTGAAATAATCCGAACTGGCTCCATGTCTGAGAGAGTCTGAACTGCCTCCATTTTTTGATGTCCTTTCTTCCACCCTAAGACTACTTTTGAGAATATCGAAAGTTAGGTCTCAGCATTCATGCAGGGATGACCCTGGCCTTCCCTTGTGCAGCCTGCAATTATGTGCTCTCCAGAAGAATGGTGGGTACAAATCAAAGCACACGTTGCCCATAATCAAGTAGTTACAGCTGTCTGGGCACCTGCCATTCAGATGCATGTGGGAAAAGTGCTGGTGTGCTTTTTATGGGCGCACACTTGCAGGCACGCTCTAGACTAGCAAAACGAGAGGCATGCTTTGCAAATAGGGAGGTTCACGCATTTTAAATGATGCATTTTTAAACACCATTTAGCACCTGCTGCAGACCCAAGGTAGGTTTTCACTGCGGCAGGAGGCGTGGTAGCGGATCTGATAGGCGTACCCGCTCTAGTTTTATATGACTAGCACAGTCTAAAAACAGCAATAAAGATGCAGCAGCATGAGCGTCAGCCCTGGCTAGACCTCAGCATAATACCCGCTTTGCTAGCCCATGCCAGGGCGTTGTCAATGCATCTTCTCTGATGCTTTTAGGCACTTTAGCTAGAATTAAGCTAGTGCAGACAGGCCTTCCCTGAGCTGCCGTCACATCTCTGATTGCAGTGCACGCCTGCCCAGAGCTAATCATGTTTATAAACACGACAGTTGGCCATTGTCAAGCCACAGCCGTGGTGTGCACTAGGTGCGAAATGGTGTTTAAAAGGATGTTCATTAACACGTTCGCTGGCATTTTTGCAATGCCACCTTATTTTCCTCATCTAGACAGGACCTGAAGGCTATGCATCAAACATTCTCTGAAATGTTTTTAAATTGAGTTAGTTTTCATTCTCACCACTTGTGACCACAAAGCTATAGTCCCCTCTTTCCATAACCTGGGTGCTGTGATGTGAGGCTGCAAAATCGCAGTACTACTCCACTCTCAGCCCTATTACAATGCCATGCCAAGCAACTTTGTGTCTTACTCTGGCATTTCCAAATAGGGGGCAACCCTGTCTGTGCGGCTGTGTATGAGAACTGGGTGACTTCCCATTTCTGGTCTCTTGGTCACTGGGCTGAGGCTCGCATAACTTGTGAGTGCTGCACAGGAGGCATACTCAAGAGGAAGTACCTCATGTCATTCACTGGGGACTCGCTGGCAGCAGAATAGAGAGGTGCTCCAAAGAGGATACAGGCAGTCCCCGGGTTACGTACAAGATAGGGACTGTAGGTTTGTTCTTAAGTTGAATCTGTATGTAAGTCGGAACTGGTGATCAGTTTCAACAGCGGCTGAATCTGGACGCCAGTTCTGACTTACATACAGATTCAACTTAAGAACCCCAGGCTCCGCGGCTTTGCTCTGCTTTGCTCCCTGTCCCCCTGTCAGTGCAGACCAGGGGATGGGGAGCAACGTCTGGGCTGTCCGCTGCCCGCGTGTTCCGCCGGTTTGCTTCCTCTCCCTGGTCTGCTGGAGACCAGGGAGAGGGAGGGCCCCGTTCGTAACTGCGGATCCGACATAAGTCGGATCCGCGTAACTCGGGGACTGCCTGTATATCACAGTAGTGGGGGTGACATTCACTCTCTCAGCTTGTGGCTAAAAAGTGTTTCATGACAATAAGGACACAAAAATTGTCCTGCTGCATCAGAGAATGGCCTGCCTAGTCCAGTATCCTGTCCCTAAATACGGTCAGCACCACCTGGATCAGAGGAAGGTGCAATAAACTGGGTTTAGACCGTTCTGGAATAAATATCTCACAGGGATAGTTTATTCCTAAACCGTGTCAGTTACAGATTAGGGAAATGGAATGGATCATCACAGATGCAGAGAACATCCTTCCTTTCCCCCATAGGGAGAAGCAAAGGAAATTGTTCTTCTTCCTTTCCATCAACAACCCCACTCCTAATCACAGTTCCCTATATTTTTTCCATCTGTGTGTGGAATACATTTTGTTAGGTGCACCAAGGCATGTGTGGATGTGCATCACTAGTAGAAACACATGCTGCCAGCTGTGGGTGGCAGGGGACACTCTGCTAATCAGCTGCATGGCATTTGAATCTCTCCTAGGTGGCATCCCAGGAGCTCAGCTTATAGGGAACACTGTCCCTCACCCCCAGATTTTTGTGCTGATCTTGTATGCTTCTGAGGGAGGCGAGCCCCACTGGGACAATTGGGACAATGTGCAAAAGTGAAAATGGTGGCCTTTCAGATCTATACACAGTGGCAATGTACTCAAATCATAGTTCTGTTACCCAATTCAGCATTTTTCTTTTTGTTCCAAGGAATATAGCTTTGTCACTAAATCCAAACCACACCTCTGTCCGTTTGCTCTGCAAAGAGAAATCAGACATTTTGGAAATGATACCACAGATATAAAAAGTGTAGAGTTACACTTGGGGTGCTAAGAGGAAATCTCTTCACAAAGTTTGAATTGGAATGATCAGTGTTTCCAGAAAGCCATCTAGTGGTTTATGCTAAAACAGTTACTTGCTTTTAAACAGGAATCTGAAGCTGGTAAGAGTGTGTATTATGTTCTGAGAAACTGCCAGCGTTCATACAAGGAACTATAAGGTTAGAGCACTGATTTTGGTCCAGTTTTGCATAGATTCTGTAGTAGAATCCGAGCGTTTAATAGTATGTTTTAGTGTGACTTTCTGGGTGCATCTACACAGCACCCTAAACTCAAAATAAAATATCTTATTTCAAATCTATTTTGAAATTTGACTCATCTACTCAGCACTAAATTTCTAAATAACATACTATTTTGAGACATCCCTTAACCCTTGTGGAATGAGGGTTTCTGGGATGCCAAAATAGTATGCCGTTTATTTAGAAAAATATTTCAAAATAACGGGCGGCTTATGAAGACACGGGGTAGCTATTTTGGGATACCTCCCGGGTGAGTGACGTAATATCCTTATTTGTGGGAAAGGAGACAAGTTTTCAAGCTATATTGCTCTTCTTCAGGTCAATAATTGTATCATGGCAATCAGAAATATTTAAATTACTGGAAGTAATGATGTATGTCTTTTCTGAAGAAGTAGTTTGAGGATGTGTGGACATTCTTACAAACATAGGGCCACATCTTCAGCTGACATAGATCATGGACCTGGCATATGTAGCGTAGTAATGTTTATATGTTGTATCTGTTATGTTTCACTCTGTCAAAACTGTCCACTTCTTTCACAAAAGTAATTCTCTAGTTTTAAAAAACTGTGCTTCTGTAGTGAAATAATTCCATGGTTTTCAGTTGCAATTATAAATATCTTTCAAATTAGACAAATTTTACTATTAGTGTGTGGGTGCTGTGTCGTTTTGATTGCCAGTGATATACAGAAGGTCAGACCATATGACCTGGTAATCCCTTCTGGCCTTAAACTCTATAACTCTGTGACTTCATGCATTAATAATATTCATTTCCCCCTTCACTGAATGGTGTATTTAAAGGTGTATCTCAGTGCATTAACACATGAAACTATTTTCTGTTTAACATGTAATGTTAAAATATGTTGGGCCATATTCTGCCATTGGTTACATCAGTGCAGCCTCGTTAAAGTCATTGCAATAACTGAGGGCAGTTTTGGGCTGCTAACCAAATTCTCCATATGAGCAGAGATGAAAAAGACTGGGATTGTTCATCTTAGGAAAGAGACTAGGGAGAATACAATAAAGGTTGATACAGTCATGAATGGTGTGGAGAAAGTGAAGTGTTATTTACCCCTTGATGTAACACAAGAACCAGGCAGCAAGTTTAAAACAAACATAAGGAAGGACAAGTTGAACCTCTCTGGTACGGCAACCTCCGTGGGCTGGCAGGAGCCCCGGCCACAGAGGTTGAGAGCGGCTGGGAGCAGAGCTAGTCGGGTCGGCAGCAACCTGCAGAGTCAGTGACCTGGCACCAGGGAACTCCGGGAGTAGGTGCCATGCTGTGCGTGGTGCCGAGGAACCCCGGGAGAGGCTGACACCCCACGTGTGGGGCTGGTGAACCACTCAGGTCCCAAGGGTGCCAGACCAGGGAGGTTCATCCTGAACTTCTTCACACAACACAGTCAACCAAGGGCAGTTGTTGCCAGGGGATTTTGTGGTGGCCAAATTTGGGTTTTGAACTGGGTTAAAAAATTAGATAAGTCATGAAGGATAGGTTCATCCGTGGCTATTAGCTGAGATGGTCATGGATACAACCACATATTCCAGGTGTCTCTAAATCTTTGACTGCAGAAAGTTGGACCTGGATAACAGGAAACGGATCACTCGATAATTGCCCTGTTTTGTTCATTCCCTCTAAAGCAATGAAAAGACAGGATACCGGACTAGTTGGACCACTGGTCTTGACCTCCTATGGTCCTTCTTACATTATATGCTCATATTAAGATTTTCAGAAATGGCTGATTGTGTCCAGCTTGAGATACCTAATTTTCAAAAAGTTCAGTGCTCCCCCAGAATCATGCCTCTTTGAGGGGTTTAAAATTGGGCACCCAAAACCACAGTGATTTTATACGTAACTCTGTGCTATAAAAAGTATATTCCATAGAACAGAGGGCATCGCATGCAGGAATCTTTTTGTAATATTCTGTTTAGCTCATAGGAATGACTTTATTTATTTATTATATTTGTTTGCTGATTTCACAACTTTTTTTTTTTTTTTTTAAACCCCCTCACAGGAATCATTAACCAATGGCAACAGGAATCCAAGGATAAAGTGATCTCCCTATTGTTAACCCACCTGCCTTTACTGAAACCGGGAAACATTGACGCAAAAGTGGAATACATGAAACTATTGCCTAAAATCCTGGCTCATTCGATTGAACACAACCAACATATCGAAGAGAGCAGGCAGCTTTTGTCCTATGCTTTGATTCATCCTGCCACTTCCCTGGAAGACAGGAGCGCTCTGGCTATGTGGCTCAATCACTTAGAGGATCGCACGTCAGGTAGTTTTGGCAGCCAAAGCAGAGGTCGGTCCGATTCTGTGGATTATGGACAGACACATTACTATCACCAAAGACAGAACTCTGACGACAAGCTGAACGGATGGCAGAACTCTCGAGATTCTGGGATATGCGTCAGTGCGTCCAGTTGGCAGGACAAAAACCTGGGGTGCGAGAACGGCCATTTGCCCCTCTACTCTTCTTCTTCTGTCCCTACTACTATCCATACTATTGGAACTAATACAAGCACAAGTAAGTACCATCAATGTAGACCGCTGCTGAGAGTCATTTGTAGCATGGGACTGTGACATGTTTACCCTGCAGGAAAACACTTTCTTGCGGTGCTTATCGTATTAAAAGAGGAGCCTGTTTTAGCTTGGCCCTGGAAAAAAAAAGTCTCTTTACCTGGATTACCCAGAATAGGCATTTTTCTGTTTTGCATCTTGTAGGATTTTAAACACACAGGTGCTTGGAACAAAGATTGAACGGCTAAGGTGTTATAAGAGCAAAAATGTCCCTTGTTGAAAGCTGCCACTTTCCTTTTACCCTCTTAGCCCCAGATTTGGGATAAAATTTTCAGAAGTGCCTAGGTGATTTAGAAGCCTACGTTCCCTTTTCAAAAGTGACTGAGGTGCTTAGAAGCCTATGTCTCGTTGGAAGTAAACGGAATGAGGAAGTCATTCTAAAAAAATGGGAAATGGATCCTAAATCGGATGAGCATTTTGCAAAACATTAGACATTCATCAGTATTAGGCAGAGATCAGTCTCTTATTGTGGATCTGAGCTGTGCGGTCTTCAGTGCTCTTTGTTTCTAGTGATTCAATAATTGGCAGTCTTTCCCCGTGCAAAGCTCTCTCAGACTTCCGTGGGAACTACATGGGCTGCAGTACTGCAGGCCAGGGCAACAGAATTGGGTAGTGCAGACACTTCAGAGCAGCACGGCTGTCATTTTTAAACAGAGATTTATGTAGCTTTTGTGTGGAGACTTACGTTGGCTTCCGCCCCTCCTCCAAGAACCATTTTTGTGTCTGCTTACGTTTGGGGTGGAGAATAAGTGTAGCATGTTCACAGTACAATTGGAGCCTGTGTTATTGACTGGCACTTGCTCTTTGTGCTGAAGGATGTTTCGAGGACTGGCACGCCTTTTACGCTGATGAAGGGCAATCTGTACACAGAGACCTTCCTTAAAGAGACATTACAAGGAATTGTTGGGTCTTCATATACTGGAAACCCAGAGACAGCCCAGCGAGTATTGTTGTTGTTTTTTTTTCAAAACCAGGTTTTTCTCTGAGTTTTAATGGGATTAGCAAACTTGCTCCTCCCATCCAGGCCTCCCTTACACCTTTTCCTTGCTCCCCTACCTGCCTTCAACCTTCCCAACTTCCTGCTCATAGTTCTCTTGCTTCCTAGCATCGATAGGCATCCCCATCACCACTTCCCATGCCTCACAACGATCCCAGGGCCCGCGTGGGCAGGTCTGCCAACAGGGGGGGCAAGGGGACAGTTCAAAGGCCTGGCGTTGGCTGGGAACCCCCAGCCCTTTAAATCACCGCCGGAGTGCTCTAAGCGGCCCTGACAACTGGGCCACTCAGTGGGCCCTGGATGGCCCTGGCTCCGCCCCTTCCGCCTGAGGCTCTGCCCCTTCCAGGAGCGTGGCGCTGAGACGCTCCCCCCATTTGCCCAGGGGTCCGTGGGGGCTGTTGGCTCTCCTGCAAGTGGATGCCGGTCTTCATCTTCAGGGCCACCTTCTCTATTGCTACATGAGCCCTGGTGACTCTGCTGTTAGTGGAGAAGCTGACATCTCCCCCTCCCCGCACCCCCCACCTCTGTTCCTATAACAGGAAGCTTCCACTCTTCCTTCCTCATCTTTGCCCCTCGTGGCAGGCACCTTTAACTCATCCATCTCCACATGCCTTTGGACAAGTCCATCCTCTCTCACCCTCTGGTTGCACACATCTCTCATGCGCAAGTCTCCAGGCCTTCCCTGGGGAGCAGATCTAGAAAGTACTCCAGGTCATTGATTTTGATGACTCCGGGCGTGCTAATTGTACAGAAGGTAGAGGGAGCTTTCTGGAGGGAAAGTTGCTTGCAGTAAAGAAACGTTCTTGTCTGTCAACCTTATGGGAACGCACCAGGCAAAGTTCCGAGAGCATTAGAATGGCTATTAAAGACTTTGTGGTCTCTGTGGCTAGAAAGCCCATGCTTGAACAAGAGTACAGCAGGAGATGTATGCCACCAAAACCTGATTGGGATGGTGATGGTGACTGCGAAGTGCTTAGTGAGATTAAGGAGGCTACAAAGGCAGACAAGTAAATAACACTGTGAGATTTCAGCTGTCCTCATTTTTTCTGGGTGCATGTCAGCTCAGGAAGGGATGCAGGGAGAAAATTTCCAGACACATTAAACAAATTGTCCTGGAACCCACAAGGAGAGAGGCAATACTTGATTTGATACTTGAATACTTAGTGGAACACAGGATCCGGTCCAGAAGCTGAATATAGCTAAATTGCTTAGTAACAACAACCACGATGTAATTGCATTTAACATCCTTGGAGGGGAAAAAATGCCAAAGAAATCCACCAGAGTAGCATTTAACTTCAGAAAGAGGAACTCCATAAAAATGAGGAAGCTAGGTAAGAGCAGTTAAAAGGAAATAGGTGAAATGCCTGCAGAGTGCTTAGTAACTATTTAAAAACACCATAATAGACACTCAACTAAATGTATACACTAGATTTAAAAAAAAAACAAACAGCAAAGAGATAAAAAATGCTACTGTGACTAAACAGCAAAGTAGAAGCAGCAGTTAGAGGCAAAAAGGCATCCTTTTAAAATTGGAAGTCAAATCCTAGTGCGGAGAGATGAGAATAAATTCTGGCTAGTCAAGTGTAAAAATATAACAAGGCAGGCCAAGACAGAATTTGCTGAGCATTTAGCAAAGGACGCAAAAATCAATGGCAATTTTAAAAAAAATTCATCCAAAGCAGAAAACCTGCCCAACGGTGAAGAGGAAATTGTAGGATCAAGGTGCTCAAGGAAGTCAAGGCTGGTGCAGAGACGCTAATGAATTATTTTCATTGGTCTTCTTTGCAGAGAGCATGGGAGACCCCTGCACTCAAACCGTTCTTTGTATAAGACAAATCTGAGAAACTGTCACAAATTGGGGTGTCAGTAGAGGAGGTTCTGGAACAAATTGATAAATAAAACTAAGACGTCACCAGGATCGGATGGTATTCACCCAAAAATTCTGAAGAAACTCAGCTATGACATTGCAGAACTACTAACTGTATTGCTTAAATCAGCCTCTGAACCAGATGAGCAGAATGATCAGACACATAGATTCAGAAAATATGTTGGGGAAGAGTCAACCCGGCTTTTGCAAAAGGAAGCTTTGCCTCCCTAATCTATTAAAATTATTTGGGGGGAAGGGGGAGGGAACCAGCGTGTGGACAAGGGAGATCCAGTAGAAACTAGAATTTTTAGAAAGCCTTTGACTAGGTCTCTCGCCAGTTATGCATCCAGTAGAAACTAGAATTTTTAGAAAGCCTTTGATTAGGTCTCTCACCAGTTAGTTTGCTTAAGCATAAGCAGTGATGGGATAAGAAAGAAGATCCTCTCATGGGTCCATAACTGGATGAAAGGTAAGGCCTTCTGTTCTTTCTCTCCTTAGCTCTTGTAACCAGGGCCCCCTTTAAGGTGGAATTTCAGATCCCCAGTTGTGGTTATGAATTACCGTTATTACGTGCATGGCTAACGTGTCCACCCCCAGGGCGCATAGGAGCTCCTGTGTATCTTTGGCAGGGGCATATAATACCACGTGGCAGGAACATGGCTCTCTCTTGCTGCACATATTCTTCGCTGACTCCCAAGTGCTCCAGGCATGATGTATGGCAGGAACATGGCTCTCTCTTGCTGCACGTATTCTTCGCTGACTCCCAAGTGCTCCCGGCATGATGTATGTGGAGATTCCTGTCCCACTTTCCCCCTTTGCGGCATCTGCAGCTCGTACAGAAATGAAATGGCTCTTGCGGCACGTACCTTCTATGTAGAAAATTCAGTGAGGTTGTTTCGCCGACTAGCCACCGAAGAGGAGATCGTTTTCATTAGGCCCTGGGAGGAGCGTGAGTGAAAATAGCCGTGCAAAGGATCCAGTTGCATTGCCAGGGCCTCATAAGTTAATAATGAGCACAACCCCTTTCACTTTTGTACGCCAGCTTCCTTGTGGTGCCAAGTGCAACTGCAGCCTTTCTCTCAAGCACTGTCCTTTGCATTGAGTAGGGTTGCCAGGTGTCCAATATTGAACCAGACAGCCCGATATTTGCCCCTTCCGCCTGGTAAAAAAAAAAATAAATCAGAAAACAGGTATTTTCTGTTTTTCCCGGCTTGGGTGTCCGAAGGAAGGGCGGTTGGGACACGCATCACAGCTCGGGCTGGCTGGGGCCGGGGGGAGGGGATGTCGGTATTTTTCGTTAAACCATCTGGCAACCCTAGTTTTGCGGCTACCTGGAATGAAAGATTTCTACCAGCCACTTCAAAATGTGTTTTCATTGCACCTCTGCCCTGAGCTGGCAAACACTGGTCTCTCTCTCTCTCATGCGTGCGCACATACACATGATATCCATGGAGTCACACCAAGGCGCCTAACCAGTCTTTGTGACGAACATGACCTTGTGGGTTAGTGGATGTATGGGAGAGGGAAGTGACTACGGGGCGGATAGGAAGTGTCCATGTTGACAGGCAGATGAGCATTTTATTCTCTGTGTGGCAACAGAACGGGGATAATTTGCTGGTCCCCTGCAGAGATGCACAAAATGTGTGTAAGGGGGAGCTTTTCTCCACTACACACATCCCAGGGGCCAGGCACAATAAAGGCTTGGGACAGCACGGCAAATAAAGACCCCCCCCCATTTACTGCTGATTTCAAATATCTTGTGATTTTAAGTCAATATCATGATTGCGGGGCGAGGGGGGAGACCTGACTTGTGATTTTTGAATGTTTTGTGTTGGCAATGCCAAAGTTGTAAGAGAGAGATTCACACCGTGCTTTGGTCCTTATGGGCTGAAAATAGGGCAGGCATCACACAGGGTATGTCTACCCTGCATGCTTATTTCGGAATAAGCTATTTTGAAATGTATATAAATACAATATAATATTTATATTTATATAATATAATCTTCAAAATAGCTTATTTTGAAATAGCGCGTCTGCACAGCCAGGGCCCATCGAAATAGCTCTGAGCTATGTCGAAATAGAG